ATACAATGTCATACAGGCCATACAATGTCATACAGGCCATACAACGTCATACAGGCCATACAATGTCATACAGGCCATACAATGTCATACAGGCCATACAACGTCATACAGGCCATACAATGTCATACAGGCTATACAGTGTCATACAGGCCATACAATGTCATACAGTGTCATACAGAGCAAGCACACAGAACAGCCTGCAGGAATGTCACAATTTAAGTATAACAAAAAAAAATATGGAAGTACATCATAATACAATAAGGAGCTGAGACACAATAATTAATAATAAAATAATAATAATAATAAATATAACTCAGTACTCACTGCAGTGAGTGACAGAGAGCGCATTTTCTCGTCGACGAAAACTTGAGGTCACGGACGGACGGACAGACGAACATGGCGAGCACAATAGCGCCTTTTTCATGAATGAGAAAATGCGCTAAAAATTAATATACTAGTAATAATAATAATGATAATTAAATAATGATAATAACTCACGTTAAGCTGTCGCCATCCTCTGTTGCCGCTTGAGGATAAGGATTCCGGGTACCAAAATTAGCGTTGTGATGAGATGGTGATGCCGTAGTGGTGCTGCTGGCTTCAACCATACCTGTGTGGTGCTGAGCATGTGTAGTGTCTGTATGAGCATGTGTAGTGCCTGTGTGAGCATGTGTAGTGCCTGTGTGGGCATGTGTAGTGCCTGTATTTTGACCCTCGTGTACACTCTGTGTGGCAGTATCAATCCGCTCGTATATGTTCTCCTCAGGAGACCCGGGGGGAAAATGCTGATTGTGATTGGCCCCAAGAAGGTGATTGGCCCCAAGATTGTTATTGGCCCCAGGAAGCTGATTGGCCCCAAGATTGTTATTGATCCCATGAAGGTGATTGGCCCCAGCAAGGTGATTGGCCCCAAGATTGTGATTGGCCGCAAGATTGTTATTGGCCCCAGGAAGGTGATTGGCCTCAAGAAGGTGATTGGCCTCATGGTAATGATTGGCCACAAGGTTGTCCGAGGCAGGCAGGGGACGGTACGGGGAGATGTGAGGCAGGAGGCTGCGCGAGGTCACGGCTCTGCTGGTCCGAACTATAGCGCTGCTCGCTGTCAAGTCGTAATAGTGGCGTGAAATGATGAATTTGATGCATTTATGACCAATTTTCTATAAATTTATGACCAATTTTCTATAAATTTATGACCAATTTTTGATAAATTTATGACCAATTTTTGATAAATTTGTGACCAATTTTCGATAAATTTCTATAAAATTCAATTATTTTATGGTAAATTTCGATGTATACAAAGAAATTTATAATGTATTTTAGTTGAATTTCAAAGTATTTATGACGAATTTCGATGAATTTATGGTAAATTTATATGTATTTATGGTGAATTTACTTGGCGTTTATTTGCATTTAAATTCACGTAAACATGAAATATATCATAAACTAAACTGGCATCAACGTTAAAATGTAATATACAATTAGCAATTCATTCTTATAAAAAATCTAATTACCTTTTTAATTACACATGGTAGAAGATTGAGTGTAACTAAAAGTTTCAGTTTTTTTTCTGAAATTTTCAAATTTTACAGAAAATTTCAGGGGATGCAAAGATAATATTTTAAGAAAATTATTCTGACCAAATTATATATAACATAACAAACTAATATCAAATAAAACTGATAGAAAATATCATAAATAAATACTAATAATCGCAAGGAAAAAAACTAACCAGCGTGGACAAGACTGTTCCACTCCTCGTCCACCTTGTCCTCCACAGGACAGGCAACACACTCCAGTTTCTGAGTGTCCGCTGCAGAGGCCAAGCGCCCCGACAGGAGCGCTCGCTGGACGCCTCCTTTGAGCCGGTCTAGGATGTCCAGCGCTGACGGGGAGAATCCTTCAGGTCCTTCGTAAATATCAGCGGATTCGCTCCTTGGACGATTATTTTCATACGTATTTATCAATGATTGGTTAATCGGGTCATTTGTACGCTTTTGTTCATACGTATTTATTGTTAATTTGTTACTTGAGTCATTTGAACGCTTATGTTCAAGCGTATTTATAATTAATTTGTTACTTGGGTCATTTGAACGCTTATGTTCATGCGTATTAATAATTAATTTGTTATTCAAGTCAATTTTTCCATCTAAAGACGATGACAAATGCGTGTTTTGTGATACATTTAATGAATCTTCGTCAGATTCATCGAGACGAGTCACTGGTATCTCCCTGACCACAGACGCCACGTGGTTGATGGTACCAGATGCTGGTAGTTTCTTGGGACTAAACCTAGCACTGGTACCTCTTCTGACCTGGTCCCAGTAAGATGCCCCTGGTTGTACTAGACTATTTGTACTATTGGTTATTTTCTCGGACTCGGCATAGGAATTAGCGGTAGAAAAATGTGATGACACTGAAGAATTTTGACCATGATCGTGTCGGTCATTGGAATGGTCATTTTGAGGTATGTTTTGCTCGAGGGCATGAGAAGGTATGCCCTCGAGGGTATGAAAAGCCATACCTTCTTTCTTGGTCTGTTTCTTGAGCGTAGACTCTGCGCAGTACATGTTTACTAAGGACAGTACTTTGGTTACAGGCTTGCCTGTTTGGTCTTCAGGCAACCCGAGGGTTTCGTTGTTGCCGTCACTGAGGGTAGTGCTGCCACTGAGGGTAGTGCCACTGAGGGTATTGCTGCCACTGAGGATTGTGCTGCCACTGAGGGGAGTGCCACTGAGGGTAGTGCCGCCACTGAGGGTAGTGCCGCCACTGAGGGTAGTGCCACTGAGGGGAATGCTGCCACTGAGGGTAGTGCCGTCACTGAGGGTAGTGCTGCCACTGAGGGTAGTGCTGCCACTGAGGGTAATGCCACTGACGGTAGTGCTGCCACTGAGTGTAGTGCCACTGAAGGAATCAGTGTTAGAGGTAGCGGCTGGAGCTTCTCCAGGATTAGTATATACTTTTCTTTGGTTTACATGAGAATCCTTGGTAGGATATTCGGCTATTTTAGGCGAAACTCTTGGAGTTTCCGAATCCTTGATAATTTCTTTTAAATTTTGTCTTCGTGGTTCATGTTGGCAGGATTCTTTCTTGGTCCCGAATTGTTCTTCGAAAATCTTCCTTCGTTCCAGTACTGGGGAACTGATAAACGCTATCCTTTCACTATCCTCTAGGTTTGAGGATTCTGTCATGGGGGATACTTGGGGATAATTCTGTGTACTATTCTGGGACATCGTCTCTGAATTCTGGGATTTTGTCTCTGAATTCTGGGATTTTGTCTCTGAATTCTGGGACTTCGTCTCTGAATAGTGGCCCATTTTCGGTTGGGTGTGGGGAAATGTATTCGGGTGGGGAAATTTACTATTGTCGGTGTGTGGGGAGGGGGATTTCACTCGAGATCCCCCAGCAGGGGACCTGTTGTGGGGTGAACGCATGGCGGGGGCGGCCACCCCGTCCCCCAGTCTTGGCTTGGCCGCCGTGATGGGCGGTCGCGTTGTCGTCCCAACTGTAAATATAAATATTATTTTATTTATATTATGGCATATGCAAATTATGGTTATCATCTTGTGATAGTTATTTATTTGAATGTTGTATCATATAATAAATATATATAATATAACATATATATAAATATATATGATATATCAAATAAAAAAATATATAAGATATTTATTATTTGAATGTTGGTCCAGAACTAGGTATGCAAATTATGGTTATTATCTTGTGATATTTATTTATTTGAATGTAATATCATATAATAAATATTTATGATATAACATATATATAAATATATATGATATTTCAAATAAAAAATATAGAAGATATTTATTATTTGAATGTTGGCCCAAAACTATGCAAATTGTTATAAATATCGCGGGATATTAGAAGAAATAAATTGATTATTTGAATAATGGTCTTAAACAGAGGATGTAGACCGAGTGTAAAAAAATTATGATTATTTGAATAAGGTATTGGTCCAGAACTATGGATGTAACTGAGTGTAAAAAAGTTATATGAAAAATTGAAACAATTAGACTTGAAAAATTTCCAAACGGATTAATAACGCCAACAAAAATTCTGCCTAATTCAACACGAATGCTAATAATTGAAAATATAAAAAATTTACTGTAATATATAACTGTTTTATGAGATATTATTGAAGAAAGCATGGAGCGAGACTCACAGTCAGCAGCAAAACTCGCGTCGCCCTCAGGGTTGATAAGCTTCAGTAGCTCCTGCTGCACGTTGGTGGTGTGGTGGTGGGTGGTGTGGTGGTGGGGGCGTTTAGCTTGTCTAAGTCTTGGTTGTTCAACCACACGTGGTGCTGACACAACCTGCTTCTGGTTGTGCCCGGGATTATCTTTATACTCATGATTATTACGATTATTTTCGTTATTACCGTCAAAAATTTCATACTCTTGCCGTTGTGGTTGATTTCTGTTGAACTGCGTGGAGGTTTGAATTGCCACGGGTTGATTTTGCGATAGATGCAGGTTTTGTGGGTCATTTTGATGCAGAAACTGGTTAGTTGAGTAATTAGAAACAGAGTTAAATGATGTATTAACTTGCCCAGGGTTGTTTTCACGCACACTTCGAAGTCGTGTAGGGGGGACTGAATAATTACCAGTGTCGCGATGGTTGAAAACTGTGTCATGGTTGTACTGGTTGCATGGTGGTTTCAAGTCGTGCTTGGTGGTACCATAAATACCATTTTGGGTACCACTACCGCCCCCATGGTAGGTATTTGGTATCTGGGTTGAGAAACTAGGACTGTGGGTGACACCGCAACCAGGATGTGTGTTCGAGTTGAAAACTTGCGTGTTCAACTTTTCAACGTTTGGTTCTATATTATGGACACTTTTGTTGATAATTTCTATGGGTTTTTGCTGCATCCAGGAGCTGGATAAGTTAGGATATGGACCAACTGGACCAACTGGACCAGCTGGACCAGAATTTCCCTGCTGGAATTTCTGTTTCCACATGCCCAGTGTGAACTCAAAGTTCTGGGTGGACGTGGAGTTCTGGACTTGAGTGGAGTTCTGGGTGGACTGGAAGTTGTGATGGGGTTGTGATGGGGCGTCACTGAGTGGGGAGGGGGTGTGGGAGGAGGGGGGGAGGTGGCGGGATGGGGAAGATGAGCAGGAGGAATTTGAGGTTGAATGTCCCGGGGAGTCGCAGCCAGCTAGATCCCGTCGCCGTCTCGCCTGCACGAAAATAATAATATTAATAATTCTAATGCACAATAATGTTAAATAATAATGTTAATTAATAATAATTAATAATAATATAATTAATTAATAAAATAATAATCAATAAAATTAATACGTAATTAATAGAATTAATTAATAATAATGTTAATTAATAAATTATTATTAATTAATATTATTTTAATGAATCTATACTCAGAAAAATTTAGGCTAGTAGTGAGACTGCGGCAAAGTCTGAGAGCGAGGTATTCGCGACCATCCTCGCGAATACAACAAAATTGAACGTTATTTAGCAATAATTAATAGTACCGTATTATTATTAATTAATATTAATTCAATTATTATTTAATATTAATAATTATGGATCTATACTCAGAGAAATTAGTGGGACTTTGTTCCATTATTTATTCAATTTAGTGACAACGGTGTGAAATCCTCGTTCTGCTCTTTGCAGTCTTTGTAATGATATACGCGTCAACACCCTTTATGTGATAATTGGCGGCTTTCAGGTGGCAAAGTATTATTATTTTGTATGTATTGGCCATGTATATTGGCCTCGCCCTCGCCCCTCATTGAGATCCACTTCTACGTACCACCCGTCGTGGACTGACAGATCAGTAATTTGCGACGTCTCTTTCCCCTCAAGCTTTACACAACGACTGATCAATATACGAGATTTTCACTTCACGTATGAGCATGCTTGTTCATAACTAGTTTTTGGCAGATTATATCTACAACAAGATATTATACTATCTACTTAATAAAATATTATAATATCTAAATAATAATATATTTTAATATCTACAAGGCTGATCAAGAAATGCCGAGTACCTATATCATTCAGTGGAGAATAAAAATTACAACCCGTTGACATTTCGAAAAAAATATAAAAGTCGTAGACTTGATGAACAATAATATTCAAATTTTATTTGAATTACCTTCATCATGACTATTTAAATACAAAGTTTTACATATACTTTGTAACTCTCCACCGTTTTTTAAATAAATAGGTGGGTAAGCATTTAAAAATTCATATCGCGATCTCATTTACGAGTGGAGTAAAGTCCAGCCTAATTTGTGAAGAAACTCATAGGGGTCAAAATCAGAGCCTTAATTTAAATTAAATTGAATTAAAAAGAAAATAATCAGAGCCTCAGTTTAAATTAAATTGAATTACGAAGAAAAAAATTGTTATCTTACGTGGAGGGGGCGGGCTGGGAGAGGGGGCGGCGACCCCTGGCCGTGGCTGGGGGACATAGCAACTTCTTTAACTCGGGGGTTGATGTCGTAAATTGTCTGCTTCGATGCGTTGGTGTCGTAAATTGGCTGTTTGGTGTCGTAAATTGGCTGGTTAGTCGTCTTAGTGTTGTAAATTGGCTGATTAGTGTCGTAAATTGGCTGATCAGTGTCGTAAATTGGTTGTTTTGTGTCATAAATTGGCTGCTTTGTCGTGTTAGTGTCGTAAATTGGCTGCTTTGTTGTGTTAATGTCATAAATTTGTTGGTTAGTGTCATAAATTGGCTGATTGGTGTCATAAATAGGCTGGTTAGTGTCATAAATAGGCTGGTTAGTGTCATAAATAGGCTGGTTAGTGTCGTAAATAGGCTGGTTAGTGTCGTAAATTGGTTGGCGGTTTGACGCGCTGGTGTCGTAAATGGTGCGATTGCCATCATAATTGCGTAGATTATTGTCGTAAATATCAGCCTGATCATGATTGGCTGAAGTCCTGCAGTGGTCAAGGCTGTGATTGGTCCGCGTGGACCGGTCCTCGTTGGTCCGCGTGGACCGGTCCTCGTTGGTCCGCGTGGACCGGTCCTCGTTGGTCCGCGTGGACCGGTCCTCGTTGGTCCGCGTGGACCGGTCCGAGGAGCCTGATTGGCTGCTGGCGAGTGTGGTGGTGGACGCCATGTTGGATGTGTTGTAGAGGTTGTGGTTGCCTACGACATGGTTGTCGTAAACTGGCTTGCTGCCGCCCTGTAATTTACGACGCTCGTATTATAAAAATAAAGTAAAATGTATATACGTGGGCCACAAGAAAATTTTTAATTTACGACATTTGTAAAACAAAAATAAAGTGAAATATATATACGTAGGCTATGCAACAATATAGTGAAAAATTATAGTGAAATACTAAAATAAGATGATTGCACAGACTTGAAATACATGAACTTTGTGTTTGCAAAATGTAATCAAGAATGCATAATTGTAAATATAATTAGTATAGGAAAGTGGAATTTGGATTTGAACGCATTGTACTTATCATTGTACTTATGACTATAATTATTATCATATCATCGTTCGTATCATTATTATTATTATAATCATTGTACTTATCATTATTATTATAATCATATCGTTGTACTCATCAGTATCATTATTTATTATACACTATTTCAACTCACAAAAACATTGTATTCATCGTCAGTTTCAACAGTAGACTGAGGCCGTGAGTGGTGTCCAACAGCCTGTTGTTGACCTCGCTCCTGTTGACTGTTGTTACTGGCAACAGCAGAGCTGTTGCCACTCGCATTCTGTTGCTGCTGTTGTTGAAAAACCTGTTTTTGCTGCTGTTGCTGATGGAGATGCTGTTGATTTCGGTGGAGGTATGATTGCTGCGGCTGTTGATACGATGATTGTTGATTGTCAGTGTTGCCAGAACGCGATGATTGTTGCCGATGATTGTCAATGTTGACAGAGCGCGCGGAGTTGCCAGTGCCGTAGCCAGAGGAGTGCGGGGAGACGCTCCGGTCGGGGCTGTGGGAAAACAAACTATCATTAGTAATGATTCACTATTATTAATATCATTAGCAATGATGTTATTGGCAGTGATTTATTATTACTAATATCATCAGCAGTAAAATAGATGATATTGATTCCATCACCCCTTCAGCATTTATCAGAATATTAACACAGAATTTAAAATTGTACTTTATAGTCAATTTGTTCCGCAAAATTTGGGTATATATTAATTTGCAAATATTTAATTATATAAATTATTTATATTGAATTACTTGATTTAAAAAAATCATTTTTGTACGAAATTGACTTGTTTACACAGAATATACAGCGGCCACAAAACCCACTTGTGTTGCCAGGTAGTGGGCTGTCCACTAGCAGTTTTTGCGGTACCAGCGGCGGCAACTACTGACTGGTTCTTGGTACCAGTGGGGGCCAGCAGCGCCTGGTTCTTCATGGTAGTTCTGATGTTATCATCATACCAGGTACCATCATCCTGGTCACGGGGACAGTACCCTAGCCCTTTAAAACTCCGACTGTTCTGCACTGAAACGGGTTTGTTTTTGCCGTTAATTTTTCGTCGGATTCCTGACGCTTGGCTTCCCGCACCTTCCCCATGGTCGGGGAGAGTTGTTTTCTTAAGATTCTTTTTGTTATCAGGGCTGCTGAGGTAATCGTAATCCCCATCAGAGGAGTCAGAGGAGCGGTGGAAGAGGCAGTGGGGGGCGTTACACCCCACACGGGGCTTCTGGGTCTCAGGGTGTGGGGGGAGGACCGTTAAGGATACCGCCTCCGACGTCTTCAGGAGGTCCACCATCGCATCCTGCGTCATCGTCGCCAGCGCCACTGTACAAATCTGCCGGGAAAAATACATGTTAGGGATGTTTTGCATAATCGATTTTTTTATACAAAAGAAAAATACATGTTAGGGATGTTTTGCATAATCGATTTTTTTATACAAAAGAGAAATACATGTTGGGGATGTGTTATAAAATCGAGTTAGGGGTTAGGGGAGATGGGGGATGGAGGAGTATGGGGGAGACTGGGGGAGTCAAAAGGAAAATACATTTTAGGGATGTGTTATAAAATCGAGTTTTAATACACAAGAAAAATACATGTTAGGGATGTGTTATAAAGTCGAGTTTTAATACAAAAGAAAAATACATGTTAGGGATGTGTTATAAAATCGAGTTATTACTACAAAAGAAAAATACATGTTGGAATGTTTTGCAAATTTGAGTTTTTACCCTTAAAAAATTATCTGACTTACTGGAAACACATTTTGGGGTGAAATTGGAAACATTTGGGCTACAAAATTGTATACTTACTCCAAAAATTTGTCATTTAACTTAGTTCAAGTCATTTTAGCGGTCGTGATTAAAATATATTACTCGGTCTAGAATCGTAAAAATTCTTAAATGAAATAATAATCTGCTTGGCATAAATCCACTTTTGAGAAAAATGTAATACATGATGATTCACGGAAACTTCCTGATATGAGAGCTCAATGAAAAAGAACTAGTAAAGATTATTACAATATGAATTTTATTAAAAAGGCATTGGGTACTTGAATTTTTATATCACTTAATTTTAAAGATCACATCGGATAAATAACGGCCCAATTGTTAATGCATTCAGTTGGGTCGATTTTCGAAGTTTAACTAGCTGGAGCATATTGACGGGTATGTTGGCTATGGCTTGGCTCATGTTGTTCTTGACATGAGGTATGGTCTTTGGACAGTCATTGTAAACAATTGATTTAAGATAACCCCATATTTAAGCCGGCCATTCAAGATATTTTCAAGATATTTTTTAAAGATTTTTTTGGCCGGCTATTTAAGATAAGCCCATATTTAAGAAAATATAACTCAGTACTCACTGCAGTGAGTGACATAGAGCACATTTTCTCGTCGACGAAAACTTGAGGTCACGGACGGACGGACAGACAGACAGAAGGACATGGCGAGCACAATAGTGCGTTTTTTCCATAAATGAGAAAATGCGCTAATAAGCCCAAAAAGCATACGGAGCCAAATCTGGGGATCGGGCCGGCCAAAGAAGGTCCCCTCTCAAGATGAGGGAGATTCCAACTTGTTGGGACCAGACATCCCTTTCTCTTGCTGTCACCTAAACCCTCTTTCATTCACACTTCTACGGTACTTGTCCTAAATATGTTCACAAACGTAATAATCGATTTTCGATTAGGAACCCGACATGATATATGGAACCGAGTACGGAATGCTCGTTGAGTAACGATAATGAAACGGCCAATAGAAAAGTACGCGTCGACAGCAAATACACGCTGCTCACTTGGCCAATGCATAGTGGCAGCAGACTGGGCAGGACACAAAACTTCATGACCTTGTCTTTCATATGAAATACTCCCCTTGTATTAGTGCTACGTCCGCTCTCTCTCTGCTAGTGCTGAGGGTAGTGATCAATAGTGACACTAGCAGTGTAGTGACAATACTTGATCAATAGTGACACTAGCAGTGTAGTGACAACACTTGATCAATAGTGACACTAGCAGTGTAGTGACAATACTTGATCAATAGTGACACTAGCAGTGTAGTGACAACACTTGATCAATAGTGACACTAGCAGTGTAGTGACAACACTTGATCAATAGTGACACTAGCAGTGTAGTGACAACACTTGATCAATAGTGACAAAGTGTGTCACTATTGATCAAAGTGTCACTATTGATCAAAGTGTGTCACTATTGATCAAAGTGTGTCACTATTGATAAAAGTGTGTCACTATTCGGACAATATGACCCATTTATTCCCCCCACCTCGACGATGCGCGCCATGCGCTGGAGGCCGGCGCGGTGGGCGGCGCCCCCGGGGGCGACCTCCGTCACGACGCCGTCCTGCTGCACGTTGAACCCCAGCAGCGCCCCCCTCTGCCGGTCCCCACCAGCGCCCCCTGCAGAGATGGTCCTCTGCACCAGCACCTCCTGCGGGAGGGTGAGAGGTGCTGGATGATGAATGAAATGAATGGATGATGGTGTGCAAGAGGGGGTGATGAATGATGAATGCGTCACCTGGGTGTGGGTGCCGCGGGTGATGAATGAGTCACCTGGGTGTGGGTGCCGTGGGTGATGAATGAGTCACCTGGGTGTGGGTGCCGCGGGTGATGAATGAGTCACCTGGGTGTGGGTGCCGTGGGTGATGAATGAGTCACCTGGGTGTGGGTGCCGTGGGTGATGAATGAGTCACCTGGGTGATGAATGAGTCACCTGGGTGATGAGTCACCTGGGTGTGGGTGCCGTGGGTGATGAATGAG